GGGTTATAGATTCAAATTCACTCCTCAAACTGACTGATGCGGTGCCAGTTTCCATTAACCAACTGCTTTCCAGTTTGGGAGCCTTAGAATTCTAACTTAATTCTACAGAAAATGACTTTTTAATAGGCGCTTAACGTAATTCAATGAAATTCACATTAGGGATGTAAGCGACTAGTTGACTATCTGATAAGCAAAAGCTAGTCCCTCGACTAGTCGCTTCCCTTCCTCCTTGCTGCCTCTATGAGGAGGCAGCAAGGGGGGGGTAGCTTAAACGCCAGTTCCTCCCAACACTGTCTCCATGGGGGCAAGGAGACAGCAGGGATGGGGCACAAGCCGGGAATCAGCTGATTCCAGGCTTGCACCCGGTCCCAGACCCTGCGCCTCTGCTTTTTAAATGTATGAAGAGCCTGCCAGCTCTTAATACATTTAAAAATCAGAAGTGCAGCGGGGGGACCTGGCATGAGCCAGAAACCAGCTGGCCCAGCTAGCACCAGGTCCCCCACTGCACTCCATCCTTTTAAATGTATTAAGAGCCTGCTGGAGCTAACCCCACTGCAGCTCCCCCCGCTCATCAAGCACTCGACTAGTCAATGGACAATCCATCGACTAGTCAGTTAGTTGAGTAGACTAAATTAAACATCACTACTTCACACACTAGAGTAGGGAAATTTCTTGCAGCAGAGACAGAATGGTTCCAGGATTGTAGACCTCATATTTTATTTGAACATGAATGTTTACTTTCACTTTATTACGACCCAGATTAGAACCAAGTACAGTATTTTATTTTTTAATTTACATGCAAATTCAAGTTAGGGATATAAAAACACACCAAAACAGTCAACCGATTCAACCGATTTGTTTAATCGGTTAACCACCATGGCCCTGGGTGGGGTCCAACACTATGGACCTGCCGCAATGGTGGGGCTGCTCCAGCCATGCCCACTACAGCCGCAGGAGAGGTCCAGCCAATCAGGCCAGTTAACTGATTACCTTGTAAGCAGGCTGATAAGCCTTCTGCTTACCAGGTAACTAGTTAACCTCGTACATCCCTCATCCAAATTAAAAAATAATTCTGTGAAAGTAAAGTTTTAATCTTGGAAGAAGTTAGCAATCTCCTTTTCAAATTACAAGGATAATATTACAGGGAATATTTGAGATCTGAACAGCTTATAGCATCATAAGCAGTAAGTGTTATTCAGGTTACTGATGTAAAATCCCATTTAATTGGTTAACCAGTTAATGGCTGGGGGGGAGGGAGCCGCTCTACCCACCCTCTGGCTGGACTGGAGCATCCCTACCTGCTGCAAGCCCAGGTCCCACCTGTCATGGACAGATATTGCTCCAGCCAGGCTGAAGTACCCCTACCTGTGGCACACCCAGGCTGGGCCTGCAACAGAAAGGGGCATATACACACACACCCAGCCAGGGAACTGCTCCAGCCCCCACCAGTTAGCCGAAAACAGTGAGCCTCACTTATTATGGCTTACCAGTTAACTGGTTAACCATTCACTTCCCTAATAAAGGTGAATGAATACATTTAATCTGGAAGTTTTTCAGAAAGCTAAAAATCTCTGCTTACATACGGTATTCAGTATTACCATTACTCTTGGATTCATGGTGATTTACGTGGTCTTTGTATGATAAGAACTATTGAACAAGTTGTGCCATTCTTTCACAACACCAGAATACCAGAGTATGGTTGCCCCTTAGCATTTTAAAATTTTGTGAATTGATTTCCAACTCATACGCATGTGTACACATTATCCAAACATTTCATACTTTCCTTATATAAAGCAACTGCTCACTCATTCATATTACTTACTGATTCACTTTAGGTTACATTATTAAACCTCTGCGTGAAAAAGAATTTAAAATCTTTTCTTCACATTCGTTAATATATTAGAATTTTTTCAGAGAAGTTTGCTAACAGACCTAAAATGCCAACTGACGATAACTGAACATATTTAAATATTAAGAATTAAAACATTAGTAGCATTCTCATGTGTACAAATTCCTCAAAAACGTAAATGTACAATACCGAATAACGTTAAGGGAGTTATCAAGTCAGATTAAGACTGGAATCATTTGGCCATTTTAGATGTGAAATGTAATTTATGGAATAGGCAGAACAAATCTGACAATTAGAAATGCGGACAGTAACTATTTTGATACAAACGTCTTTAAACAGGAGAGGAGAACCGGTGGCCCACAGGCCCAATCTCACTCACGGCTTACTTAGTTCCAGCTCACGATGCTCAGAGTGAGCCCCCCCCTCCACCCACGCAACCCTGGGGTGAGTGTTGGTACTGTTGCTTCAGCACGAGTGGCACCGTGGCTGGAGCGACAGCGACGGCCAGCTGGCACCGCTGAAGGAGGAGGAAACCCTGAGCCTTGAGGGCCTGATCAAAACATACCACAGGCCAGATTGGGCCTGAGTGCTCAGCCTGGCTGGGAGAGGAAGCAGCTCTGCACTCTGCAGGGAAGTGCTATCTACAGGCACTGCCCCCTCATCAGGCAGGAATGGCCAGCTCCTGGCCAATGAGATCTGCAAGCAGACATATCTGTGACTGCACAGGTAAATAAAGCATCCAACGGCCCGCCAGGGGCTAAACCTGACGAACAGCGTCTAGCCCATGGACCACTTATTGCCCACTCTGATCTACGTGCTAGTAGAGGGACCTGTCTTTCATAGCTGCTAAATCTATTTGCAATCCATCTTCTCCGAGCAACCACTGAAGTCTCAACAGACACTGCCTCATTTCAAAACTTGAAGGCTGATCTAAAATACTTTACTTGCCCATATAAAATACAACCTCATTGTGTGAATCAGTTTCAACAAAAAGCAGTTGTAGGACTCACATTTTTAAAGTTGCCATAGTATTCTGAATGTCCTCCCCAGGGTACTATTGTTAACATGAATTCCTGGAAGAACCAGTGTGTGTAAAATTATTTGAAAAACATTTGGATTTGTGGGAATTGGAAGAGCAATCTTTTTGCAAAACTGGAATTTGTCTCCTACTAAGTTTATATGCCTCAGAGTCTTTCAGTGGGATGTATGCCAAGAGACATGCTTGCCCTGAAACTACTGAGATTTCAAAGACCTTTGATGTTGTTAACAATGAGGCAAGCTTATTATTCTTAGCCTGGTTCTTGCTGATACCTGCAGGCTGTCTTACCCTCTCAACAAAGTTTAAATATCCTAGACCTTTCATTGGAAGCGCAAAGCTTTTGCAACACCTGAGCCATGTCTAGGTGGTTTGTTAGGGAAAAAGAGGGTGGGACTTGGGATACTTTATTTGGAAGTTTGTCACCCAAGTAATTATGATACATACTTATATTTCAACTAGTTGCAAAACAGCTATGCTTGATCAGCCAGTTCTTAAAAGTTAGGCAAGTCATCATATATTGTTGCATAAAAATGATGCAACAGCAGCTGAACACATTAATAAACACATAAGAACCAACCTGAACACAGAACACAACAGTCTAAACTCAAAGATCCATGTTCACTACAATATAAATGAGATATATCTTCTTAAATATGTAACCATCTATAAGCTGCAGCCAGTGTCTAAATTCAAAACAATGAGATAAAGTGAGATCAAGATGAGTATGTGCCAATACCTGACTCATGGAAGTGCGTGTTGCTCCTCCCTAAAAAGGTTAATGGTAAGTCAGATAGTCAACAAAATATTAATAAAAGGGAAGGACTGCAAGCCAAAAATAGG